GACCAGTTGACCCTTTCTTCTAATTTAGCTTAATGGTAAAGTCTCCGCGGAGCATAGGCTGTCTATGTACAAACAGATTTCCTGTTGGCGACCTTAATATGTTCTGCCCAATGAGCAGAGTCCACATTCTGCTTCCTCCTGGATAGCCATAAACACTCCCACGTTGGGCAGGAAAGAATGAGAGAGAGCACATATTCATTCATGTGTAGTAAAGCAAGGACAGACTGATGATCATTAGGATGCAAAGTGTAATGCTGATTATGACTGTGTTTATAATGAGCTCATCTCACCTTAGAGAGCTGGGCTATTTGAGGAAAAAGCCATTTACTTGAGAAGACAAGGCAGTCATGTGAGAAAATGCTACAGTGAAGCAGCTTAGGTTGATAGCATCTGTGAAAATGGCATTGAACGACATTTGCAGTTGCACCTTCAGAGTTATGTAGGCATTTCATACCAACAGCCATACTGAGGTAACTGGGCTTATTATCAAGCTGTTCAGATGTTGACCTGTTTTAGCGGCCTCATTGATCCCAATTAAGCATCTGATAATCGCAATGCAAATATTTACTCTTGATTTTACACCAAATGCACCTAAAGACAGCATTTGTTGTCGTTGCTTTGAGCAATTTACAGCTTAAAGTTTTTATTTTAATTCATACCTCGCTTTTTACTAATGGAGCTGGAGTCTATCCCAGCTGACTCAGGGTGAAGGCAGGGGACACCCTGGACAGGTCACCAGTCTATCACAGGGCTACACTTAGAGACAGACAACCAAGCACACTCACATTCACACCTACACACAATTTAGAATCACCAATTAACCTCAACATGGACTGTGGAAGGAAGCTGGAGAACCCACACTGCACAGGGAGAACATGCAAACTCCACGCATGTCCTCACCGGGACGCGAGCCGTCGACTTTCTTGCTGCAAGGCGATGGTGCTAACCACCGCTCACAGCCCACACAACAACCATCCATCCATCCATTATCTATACACCGCGTAATCCTCACTAGGGTCGCGGGGGGGCTGGAGTAATTTAGAATCACCAATTAACCTCAACATGTTTTTGGACCTTGTGGGAGGAAGCCGGAGAACTCGGAGAGAACCCACGCTGCACGGGGAGAACATGCAAACTCCACGCAGAAAGATTCCGGTGCCCCCACCGGGACGCGAACCGGCAACCTTCTTGCTGCGAGGCGATGGTGCTAACCACACAACAACCAGGAGCCCACACAACAACCAGCTCAATTATATTTCAGAGATACAGTTCATAGTCATTATTCCACTTTTCACACAAAATTGGAACCACCCCCCCTTCATTATACAAAACAGCATGACATATATTTCTGCATCTTATTCTATTTAATATTACTTTTCTGTATTAGTGCAAAAAAAATCAAGTCATATTCGGAGTCTAGGTCACAGTGATCTGTTTACTGAAATAGTCGTAGCGCATTCAATAACTGCAGCACGCTGTGTGTTTTTCTTTTTTCTTCAATGGGAGTACGTGAATGTGTGAAATGACAATGGACGGAGAGAAAACAGTCAATCAGGACGGCGTTCCGTGTATTTTAAGGGAAATAACTTATGACAAATTGCCTGTTATAGAGATCCAAGTTCATATTATTGACTTATCAGCACATTTGTCGGCTGTATTTTCTTTCCTTTTATTGACAGTTGCCATCGTTACAGAGGCAGGGCTGGTGTCCTAGGAAACGATGGAGCTTTTGTAATAGACTGCATTAGAACTTTGTGTGTATATGTGTGTACTTGTGTGTGCATGTAATGGATCCTACATCTGTATCTTGTTGAGGCCGGTCTTAATGAGGCGCAGAGAAACAGAAGGAGAAAAAGATACAATGAAAGAAAACTGGCAGCAGTGCAAGTTTGCATGTAGAACGGTTAATAATATCGCCGTTTGAAAGCCTTTCACGAGTAGCGGGTTTAAAATCAGAACGCTGTGTATCTTTACATATGAGGGGAAAAAAAGAATAAACACCCTGCTGAAATAATATTGATATATAGATGTATAGACCAGTATTTTACATCCGATATCCAACAGCCAAACAAAATGAGCAGGATTTGTTTAAAAATACAGATTAAGACAGGGACAACACTTGGCATGTCTAACTTGAGAGCTGATGAGAAATAAATTAGAAAACCTTCAACAGATTTTTCCTCGTCAGTGTAACAACATGCTTTCGTTTGGAGTAATTTCAAAATGACTTAATGAAGTTTCTCGTCAGATTCTTCCAGCCAGAGAGGATATGCGACACATCGAAGGCACCCTATGCGTGTCTCATGATACCATTCTTTACAGCTTAGATCGGGGGTGTCCAATCCTGGTCCTCGAGGGCCCCTGTCCTGCATGTTTTAGATGTTTCTCTCTTCCACCACACCTGATTCAAATGATCAGCTCATCATCAAGCTCTGCAGAAGCCTGATAACGATCCTGAGGGAAACGTCTAAAACATGCTGGACAGGGGCTCTCGAGGACCAGGATTGGGCACCCCTGGCTTAGATCGTATAGAAAGCCCGTCCGAAAGAAATAGCTTGTTAAAATCTTGTGTCGAAAATGGAAAGACAGTGGTCGAAAAAGAGATTTGGACGTGTCACGTTGGTGTGCGTGGTGTAAGTTTTTGATTTTCTCATCTGTGGTCATTAAAATCTCATCCAATATTATTATCTGACATGCTGAAGTGCAGTTTTAGCCTCATTCTGTGAAACAAAAACAAGTCATTAAAGGCAAGAAGAGAGCAAAAAACCAGCTCCACCCTTTTTTTCTCTCCATCTCACACATAGACGACATGTGTCTGCCCAGCTATCATTAGCTCAGTTGCAGGGAGCAGCTGGGGTCAGGCTGTGTGCATAACCTTACAGTACAGCAGGCGTGTGAGTGGAGGAGGTAGATTTGAGTCTTTGAATTGGGTATCCTTTAAGAAATCCATTTGGTGACATCTGTGTCATTTTGACATCATCTCCTTGCTTTTCCAGCCCCCCCCTCCTCCGCTGTGTGTGCTGCTGATGTTCAGTGCTCAGACATTAACATGCGGCAGCCATCCCAGACCCTCAGTCCCTGCGGTAATTGGAAAGCCGTCAGCAAGCCGTTGTTTCGATAGAGAGGAGGGGGACGGAGAAAGAGAGGCTGGGTGAGATGAGGAGAGCAAGAAAAGCAATAGAGAGTTGGGGGCGGGAAAGAGTAAGCTTGCAATGAGGAAAGAGGTAGACAGAGGGAGTGAGAAGGAAGGGGAAAGGGCACAGAAGGCTGCAATCAGGTGAATGAAAGAGTGACGGCTATAAAGTGACTGATACAATATGCTAAGGGGAAGAGATTTAAAGGTGGATGGACAGGGATGAATGGGGTTTAGAGATTTCTAGTCTTGTAAGTGAATTTTACAGAGAATAGCATCAGTGTCCCAGTTCAGAGCATAATCTTGTCACTTGTTACAGTTGCATTAGACGCATACATGCAAGAAAATCCCAGCTCAGGATTGTATTAAATAGACATATGCCATCATTGTGCAAGGATGTGCTCTAATGCAAGTTGGGAAAATGCTTGAGAGAAAGCTTTGACAGCACGAGCGACAGGATGATGCTGAATGTAACTTACACAGCAGCAGCAAAGTAGTGATGAATGAAGACTAGGCGGAGCTCTGCTGCTGCTGCTGTATTAGAATTCACCAGCCGAGAGAGAGAGAGAGAGAGAGGAGGGAAGAGAGAGGATGAAGATGCAGTGCGAAGAAATGTTGAGGAGGGAGAGATGAGGGAGGAATGGAAGCGAAAGAATGAGAGAGAGAGAGAGAAGGAGGGGATTTGAGGCAGAAGGGGAAAGAGGGAGGAGCAACAATTAAACCAAATGGGCTGGAGCTTTTTTGCCCCCCGCCCCACTGCACACAAGCACACACACACACACACACGCACACATACACATGCTGTCAGCTGCCTGCCTCGGGGAGCCATGGCGCATGCACGCTCTCGGGCAGACAGGCAGGAGGAGATCAATCGTATTCAGGGACTCGTGTGCATGTGTGTCGGCGGTGTGTTGGTGACATGCTGGTGGCGGCGTATGCCATGCTAGTGGAGGTGCAATGTTAGCAGGAGCGGAGGGGGCTGTCTGTGTATGTGCCTGTGCGCACAGCTAGAATGCACATAGAGGGCTTGTGGCGTGTGAGTGTGAGCGAGCCGTCAAAGGGGAGGGGAGCCACGGAGCGCAGCAGCAGCAGAAGCAGCAGCAGCAGCAGCAACAGCAGCAGCAGCAGCAGCAGCAGCAGCAGCAGCAGCAGCATTGCCAGAGTGTGTGTGAGTGTGTGTGAGCGAGCGTGTATGTGTGAGGGGTGGAGGGGAGAGGAGAGGCAGACGCGGCGGGACTCCCGGGAGAGGGAGCGGGAGTTGGGGAGCAGACCCAGCCTCTCTGCTCCACAGCAGGAGAACCAGGACCCAAGGACGAGGCAAGATCTGTAGCCCAGGCTGGAGCATCTGGACCTGGGGACACGCGGGGGATTTCTGTCCCTCTCTGGAGGAGACTTCTGCTGGAGCCCAAACTCAGGATGTGTTTGACTAAAGGGGGGCTTCCAGACGGATCGGACAGACCCACACAGAAAAGGAAACAGTGCAGTTCCTTTTCACTGTTTCTGTATATTTCTGCTTCTACCTTGATTAGGATGCGAGGGAGAGGGGCGAGATAGAAGGAGAAGGTAGAAGAGAGCAAGAAGGATACTGTCATTGCTATTAAGGAAGGAAGAGAGAGAATAAGAAGAGGAGGAGAGGGCGAGAGTGGTTGGGAGGAGTGTACTCTCCTCTCATGACTCTCCCATGGAACACTGACTATTGACTGTTGATTGGCAGGCACTGGGGCTTGTTTATGAATCCCTCCCTGGCCACCATAACAACCAGGGGGTGTCACCAGGTTGCTGTCCCACTGACGACCATGTCGGTGACCACGGGCTTCAGTTACCAGCTCCCTGGAATCACCACAGTAACATATGTGTTTGTTTACAGCCCCGGTTCAGTGCAGCGAGACCCAAGCCCACCTCATCACACCCCTCCAGCACTGGCCGGCCCCCGCGGGCCCAAACGAAAACTCTACAGTGCTGTCCCAGGACGTACTTTCATTGTGGTCAAGCCCTACACGCCACAGGGGGAGGGAGAGATACAGCTCAACCGTGGAGAACGGGTCAAAGGTAGGTTGTCTGCTGCCATTTGTGTTGCTGTGTGTGTCTTTGCCTCACTTAACCTACTACTGTACCTACTACTACTTGACATTACTGCTGTTCATATTCTGTATTTCATGTCGTGTCAGCAACTTTCCATCACGACCACTTGTGATGTTTAGGACCTCCTGGGAAGTCCATGACTACATGTGGCTTGTATGAGTGTCAAAGTTGGGTTTGTTGCAGAATCAAAGAAAAGCAAACATTCCTGTGCTCTCACACTCTCAGACACTAAACACGTCATTACTACGCTACGTTTTTGGCTGTTATGTAACCTCTCGACCTGGAAGTCATGTCGGTGACGTTTGAGCTTGACATTGTGAATTCTCATTTCATTAACCTTATCAATGTGCTGTTTTCTGCTTTACACAGAGGTGCAGTGGCTTTGCTTTCATGTGTTTGTGTGTGTGTGCTTTTGTCTCCATCCATGCTTCACTCCAGACTATGACTGTAATGACGTAGAAGGTAAACTCCACAATATTCTTCTCACCCCCTGTATCTCTCCCACACGCCTCAGTGTGTCAACCCTTCACCTACAGTGAAGCAATTAGTTATTGGCCCTGTTTGAATCCACTTGAGATGTGTGTACAATCTCACTATAAATCTGTGATTACTTCAAGGAGAGGGCATGCAAATTCAAACAGGTCCCGTGTGCTTTTGGTTGTTGGTATGCATACATATACTGTGTTCTTCCTCCTCTCTGAGAGTCCTCCCCCCACCCTCAACACACAACTGCTTTTCTCCCTCCTCTTATCACCTGTCCACAGACACCCAGCTCCACATTGACCCCACACCCTACATCCTGCCACTTCACATACATCACCATGGATCAAACCCACATTAGCTTAATGGAAACAGTTCCCTCATGTCCTTAGAAAGGCCACAGAGAGAGAGAGAGAGAGAGAGAGGGGCCGCACTCATGCTGAGACCTCTTATGTTCCTTTCAGATCTACAGAGGTACAGGAAGTACAGATTAAGGGTCAATTTGGAATTTCAATTTGGATTGTGTACAACCACAAGACACACACACACACACATTTTCTCTCTCTTGTTTTCAAAAAAATAAATAAACAGTATCAAATGATGCACAAATACTAGTCAAAATCCAATGACGAGACCCCTTTCCTCTGCTTGGATGTTTACTCCAGTAGTCAAACCTCTTCCTCAGTGTGTTCTGTCTTCCTCCTTCTTTGACCTTACAAACTTTTATTAGCAGACCTCCTCCCGTATGCTGTGATGCCTCATCTTTACAGTGTCGTGTCTGTTTTATGGAAACACTGCTGTTATTTGCACAAGAATAACAAACAGATGATGACTGTTTTTGTTGACGAAAACTGAATGATAGGGCATTGTCTGACAGTGCGATGCATACTGATGTTGACACAAATGTTTTTGTAAATGTGATGACTCAACAGCAGCCTCGCACGCCTCCGTCTACTGTATGGATCTGCTGTCACTGGCTTTTCTGTTGGTGCAACTGAATCCATAACCCTGCCACTAATGTGAACACTCAGTGTTTTGCCGTTCTTTCATGTTGGCCATGCAGGAAACAAGCTTACAGTCATATGGCTGCCAGCACCATGGCCCAGCCAAGTAAACCATCTGGCTCTGTTATGCAACACTGACCATCATAACCATTACTGTGTTGCATTCACTATGCTTCTGTAGTCTTGGGATATAAATTGAGAAATACATCACCGATGTCAACTGGTTGTTGAACAGCTCAAAGCCCTGGCTCCTCAGGTTGTGTGTAAAAGTTTTGTTTCGGTAGCCAAATTCTTTCTGTTTAGTTCGTTTTGTATCCTCCTAGAAGACCAGCCTGATGGCGCCCAGGAAGGCTCTTTCTTTAGAGTCACTTTCTTTAGAGATGGATGACCCTTGGTTTGATATATAATGCATTTCATCTAATCTGCATTCATAAATGGGTGAGTTGCTAATAGTAATAGGGCTCTTTGACAATGGAGGACAAAGGGAGGGAAGTAAAAGAGAAGGAGGAGGATATCATTTTTTATCATTTCTTGTCTCCCCCTCATGATTAAGGTGCCAAACAAATCAGAAACATCTACATCCTCAGGGCTGTTGATAAGCTCCAACTAAAAGCTCATTTGTGTTTGCTTCTAAATATTTGCATGTATGTGAAGTCGACATCAGCAGCGTGATTTGTGCCCTGAAGCTAACTGGTGCTGCTTCAGACGACAAACATGCTGATGATTCAGTTCTAGTTAGACTGTTAGCCCCCCGACCCGACCCCTCAAACTCAGACAGACGTTGTTTTCTTGTTAATGTCCACACATGCTTATTAATCGCCGGCTACACCAGAGGACCATGTCTATGACGAGATCAGACTGGGTAAATGATGTGTCTGTGAATGTCAGTGTGTGAATAGAGTTAGCATCGATGCTTAGCTTAACTTTTATTACCTCACCTGTTAGTTGGACAGATTGTTGGCCTGGTTTGGTATTGAACACCGAATCCCATAGAAGGAGAGTGTTTTTACTTTTTAATTTAAAGAAGACCCAAATATTTTCTAGTTCCTGGCAGTAGACAGTAGTATGTTTCATCTAATTATGTTTTGTGAAATTTTGTTTTGAAATCTTCAGAATTTCACATAATAACCATTTCTTGTTTCTTCCACTTGTAGTGAGGAATGACTGTCTGGACTCAGATGGTAAATACAGTAGATCTTTAGAGCAAAACCTCCTGTAGCTCTTCCGGCTGAAGTGACTGATTCTGGATCATATCATGTCACTTAACTCATACCTTCGTCTTAATATGAAAGCCCTCCTATTGTGCTAATTATTTTTTGCTCACTGCAAGATTTCCTCTCAAATTGTGTGGAATAAGTTGAACGAAACACTAAATGAAACAAAGCAGTTTAACCAGCATCACTTTGCAGCCAAAGAGTCAAATTCTAAACCCCATTTTAGTTTAGAGCGAAGGGACAGTCTCAATTATTTATTGTTTTTGTACAGCATGACAGTTTTCTGGCAGTGTGCAATTACCAGCTGAAATTTGAAAGATTCCCCATCGAATCCATGCTGTTGCAGAAACATGCTGCTGTAAATGTTGTGGTTTGGTAGTATTAGAAACGTACCTGTAGCCCGTTAGTAGCTTTGAGCGTTGTGGTGTCATTCATTTGTTTAACCATTTACGGTGCTGAAGCTACATTTTTATCAGTTAACACGTGTAATGCCTTGTAGCTGACAACCAATGCGATGAGGACGATGACGATTACACTCATGACACTGATGATGATGATTCTGATGAAGATCAAGGTAAAGCTAATATTTGTATTATTTTTTTTTATTTTAAAAGAAGGATGACAAAGTGGTTTTAACTGCAAACGTTAACTGTAAATGAAATCAGTTCTCCTGCCACAAATAGACGATGTGACTGTTGGGAAAATTAGTTTATGAAATTTAACAAACAGTCTCTGGTTCCCAAAAGGTGGCACAATTCCACTTTTTCATCCTTGCACTAATAAACACACACATAGCGCTCTTGTGCAAGCGTAGATGATCCTTAAATGTGTGCTTAGCCCCAGAGTCTCTGGAGCCCATGTTTTATCCGACTAGTTTCTTATCTATTATGAAGAATTGCTTGGAAAAACTCCCAGTCTTCAGTCTGTGATTGTCAGTCTATTGGTCTGTTGTCTGCGATCAATGTCTCTAGACAGCCTTCGTCTAGACAAACAACCCCGCTGTCCACCATTTAGAAGGGTCATCCACATCCAGCTCTCCAGGCAGACTGTTAGTCCTACGTAATGAGATCTTTTATCCCTTCACCGCTTCACAAAGTGTCACCGGACCGCAATTTTTTGATTTTGGTATTGTTTTAAATTCCCCTTTTTTGTGTGTGTTTTTTGATTTCTGTTTTTGCCTTCAAATCTAGTTTTAGGGCTGCACTTTGTCACTTTGGTCTGTGAAAAGCACCCTGTAAATACATTTGACTTATTTACTTTACTTGCAAAAGCAGCATGGGCTTGATATCATGGTTATGTTTGAGGTTGTGTGTTCGATTGTGTGTCAGCGATGGCAGTTCAAAGAAATGTGTGGTTCCAAGATTATCAGATTTTGTGGTCTGGATTTGTGTACAGATGTGTACATGTGTGGTCATGCTGTATGTATGTGTGTGTTTGACAACCCTTTGGTACACTCCATTTATAGGCCCCCATGGTCCATCCCCACCACCACCACCTTGTGTCCCCTCTCTGCACTCATTCCCTTGCTCACCCCAGTGTTTGTTTCTGCTCTTTCCATTCATTGATGTAATCTGATCTCATCATCCGGATGGACATCTCTTGAAAGGCCACTTATGGTCACCATGGTAACGGATGGGAAAACATGCCACCATAACCAGGTCAAGCTTTTTGCACACTTGTCTGCACACACACACACACACACACACACTGAAGCAGATACAAACACGTGTCTGTACAAACTAAACGCACAATTCCAGATTCTAACACAGGAAGACAAAAACACGCAAGGGGGGCAAATTATAGCTTTCCTTATTTTCTGTTATACGTGTATAATGGTACGCATTACACACAGAAAACTTCTAGGTGAATGTATGTACAGAAAACTTGAGTGTTGTTGGCATTTAATGTACTCCAATATCCAAATAACTAATATTTCAAGGAGATAATATGCAGACAGCAGAGTAATGTTCCATCAGCTGTGTTACTTTTGGTATTTCGTGACAGCAGATTTTTTATGTTTTATTTTTTTTAATTTCAGATTGCTTTTAAGCATATGTCCTGTACAATATGTGAACCTATTAACAGGGAATATATATGGGGGAAAAAAAGGTGTATACAGTGTGTGACTGAAAGACTTAATCCATCATTATGTCACATGATAAGCAGGTAATGAGTGCAGAGTTTACCAAACAGAGATGCTCTGCTGTGATCTTTGTTGCTGCAGATGTCCGTGCTGTTCACGCCTTTATTCCAGATTGGATTTGGGATA